AATTATTTTAATTAAAATAATTATTTAAATAAAAATAAATGTTTGTTTTTTAATATTAAAAAATAATAATCATACTCTTTTGTTTATATCTTTACCTTTTTGGTAAAAACTTACTTTTTGACCTTTTATCTTATTAAATTTGTAAGTTTTAATTACTTATCTTATATTATGACACTTTTAATCTCTCATTTATTATAATTGAAAAAAATAATCCTTACTTTATAATATTTTGTTAGTTTTATTAATTAACTGTTAATTCTGTTAGTTGATGTTAATTTTATTAGTTGAAAATAAGTTTTTATTAATTAACAGTCAGTTAATAGAGTTAACAGTCAATTAACAGAACTATTCTGTTAGTTGATTTTTAATTATAGTAATTAAAAATAAGTTCTTACTAGTTAACAGTCAATTAATAGTCACCTAATAGAGGTAACAGTCAATTAACATAATTAACAAAATATTATAAGTAATGACTATTTTTTCTAATTTTAATATGTGAAAATTAAAAGTATCATAATATAAGGTAAATAACTAAATCTTACAAATCTAATAAGGCAAAAGACTCAAAATAAACTTTTGCCATCCTTTTAACATGTGCCTCGTATTAAAAAGTTAAAACCATAAGTTAAGCTCCTGAACTAATCACAGAATCACTATTAAGCCCCTAGGCTTTTTTTTTATATAGAAAACTTATAGTGTTTTGATTGGGTTATTATACGTATAAAATAATGATAAATTATATAAAATAAAATAATTTTAAAATAATTTTTTTCACATAACTTAAGGTTTAAATTTAAAATTTTTAATTTAAAATATTAAATTTATAATAATCAACCACTCTCTTAAAAGTATTGAACTATTGATATAAAAAAAATAGTTGAAGATTATTTTTTTGTGTTATTTTATTATTTTTTTAATTTGTTACATATTTAAAATTTATAATATTAAATATATATTTATTTAATAATACATAAATATTATATAAATAATTTATTAAAAAATTTGTTTTTATATCACTGTCCTTCGGTATATATGGACCGCAGTTAAGAAATTCTTTGCTCATAAACAACAATGCAGCAAAAGTTGAATACGTACGGTACCAGACTATGCTCCTTCCCGGAAATTGAATCTTAGGGGCCACCGGCTACGTTGGTTTTCCTCCTCGATCTAGAATGGGATGGGTGCAAGAGGACGAAGGACCGAGGCG